TATATATCTATGAGAAAACTTCAAACCGTCATTTAACAGGAAGAGGGTGTGCAATCTGTTTCAGCTATTGCATCCTTCTCACATACAGTTTCAGCCCCATGCATCCCTATGAAATTTGGTTGTTCCCTTGACCTGAAATGCTTTAAAGCCTTTGAGCTTGAAAATAATCCCTATTACAGCTAGGTAAAAAGTCAAGCTACGGTTGCACAGTTTACACAAAAACCATCAAGTTACTGACTTGTCTGAATTTGAATCGGTTGAATTAGTTAGTTAGAAAAGAAGTCTTACCCAAACAACCTTTCTGAACATCAAATAAGCCCGCAGTACAAATGTTACACTTTTTACCAATCACGTTTGGTTTACAGCTGCAATTTCCATGTATCTAAATTAATGTGAAAAAAGGAAATACAAAAGTCATATTTTAAAGTAGAATTTTGCCTTAAATTAGTGGAAAACTATATAAACAGGGGTACCCTGGATGTAAAAAGAGACATTTTTGAAGGATCGATCAGAGAGAAGGTTAACAAGGAATAACAATCTGGACCTAGAAAGTTTAGGCAAACATTTTAAAGAAACAATACACGAGGTACGACTGTGATACTTGAAAATCTACAAAAAAACGATTCAAAAAGAGATTGTAAATCGCCTACCGAGTCACACTGGAGATCAACTGAACCATCATTGTTACAATTACAAGGCAAACAACCAGACGCGGTATAATTAAAAGCGTTCTGTTCACATCTGTCACAGAACTTTCCTGTCACATAAGGATGGCAGTAACACGAACCAGTCATGTTGTCACACTCATTATTCAGTGAAAAAACAGCCGAACAGTTGCAACCTGAAAGTCGATTCCAAATGGAGATTTTAGAGAGTTAACAAAAATGCCACAGTGCCTTGTTTAAAACTGCGGTTGGTTACAAAAGTCTCATGCCACCCTCTCCACCGATCAGATGGAGTGTCAGCTGATCCCAAAAAAAGACTCGCCCAGGAGTGTTTTTCGTGCTGATGTGGGGGTGTTTGCTTTCTATTGGCAATGGCTCTCTCTTCTCTTGTACAGTTTGCGTCTGTTCTGATGGGCCTTTCAACCTGGATCCTTTGTACTTAGTTCCGCTACAAACATTAAAACATCTGGCTGGTTAAGTCAAGCGTGTCGTCATTCCATAAAAAGCAAAACACCTCTGACAGGCTGGGGTCTTAAGGTGGGAGGGAGAGAGGCTTATTTACACTTTAACGTTGCAATCTCCCAAATATGATTGCGTTTTGATCAATGCTTCAATGTAATGATCTGTTGGAACTCGCCTTACCAACATGCGGCGAAGGTCTTTACAAAAAAAACATACTTACGAGTACAAGTTTTGTTCAATGCATTTCCATGGTATCCTGGTGCACACCACTGACAGTTAGACCCTGTGGTATTGTAAAGACACTTAAGGCATTCGCCTGTCGTGGTGTTGCAATTACCGGTGGCTGCAGGATCTATGTTGTTGTTACAGTTACACTTGTGACATTGACTATCCTGTTCCTGTTAAAATGCATAAATGAATAAAAAGTATAGTTTTTTGTAAAAGGACAGTGTAATTGTACGAATAATAAATTAAGGCGCCCTGAACACATCAAAAATGAAGATGAGTTTCTTCTTGATCTAACCAAAATGTGGTGAAATTTCCAAAATGCTGAGGACTAAAATGGCATAACAGACGGAGATAGAGATAAAATGAATAAAATAAATGGAATTTAGCAGTGGACGTTTTACGACGTAGCTCTTCTTATCCACTGTTTCAGGGTCTAATTGGAATTTAAAACGGTGGTTTTTGTGAAGGGAGGAAAACCGGCGGACCCGGAGATAAACCGTCAGAGCAAGGAAGAAAACCAACTACAAATTCAACCCACATGTGACACCAGGTCCGGAAATCGAACCTGGGCCACAGTTAATCGATCAGAGAGGGATCTATTGCATACATGTTACTAACTTAGGATTAACATCCAGGACCTTTGCATTGGTTTGCTTTGCTTAAGTGCGTTTTGTGATGGGCATGTGAACTTGGTGCAACTCTCTAAACCAAACGGCTACAAAGCTGAAACTAGTAGCAACTGGCCGGAGTCACTCTGAGTCACTCACTTCGTGCTTCTGATTGAATGTAATCCCTTCCAGTTCACGTTGGTTTCAAGCGAATCTTCCTATATTCTGATGGATCATTTTGATTACTTTGGTTTTTGGTTTTACGACACTCAGAAGGAATGTCGTTTATCGAAGTTCCACATCTCACTGAGCCTCACACTTACCTTTGGCCGTCCAAAGTAACCGTCCACACATCGTTCACAATACCGTCCCTCGTGACCCACAGTGCAGTTCACACAGGTTGGTAGACCGTCACTTGAAAGTACACAGGTCTTAGCGAATTGATTGACGGCAAATGGTCCGCTGGGGCATGGGCACGGGCTGCAGTCGGTAAGTGTGGCATTAGTGGCGTTGCCATACCAACCATCTAAACACTTTTCACAATCTTCACCTGATAAAAATAACAAAATTCACACAGGACACAAATTAAAAGAAGCAACTAATTATATGTTCGGTCATTTTAAATCAAGATAAGTATATGACTTAAAGGAAAATGGTCGTGCATAAATCGTACCAGGGCATAGGAATTCAATCTCATGAGTTTTACACTGTGTATCTCAAAGTTCTTATTTCTCCGACATACAACCAAGTTTAAGGACTCTATTCTCCCTCGCCTCAACAATATTTGCGCACTCCTCCTATCCTATTCACCCCATTCCTTCCTTCCTAGAAATTTTTCGCTTCTTTTATTTTCATGGCTAATACCTGTGGTGTTGTGTTGACAGTCCAAACACACTCCAGTCTCAGTGTCACACTTGTCTGAGTGTCCGTTACACTCGCACGGCACACATGTCACGTAAGGTCCTCCCTTTGGTGTGACACGTGTGTAACCATTGGCGCATTGTTCACAAAACTGTCCTTTGTACTCCACGGGGCATGAACAATTCTCAATGTTTAAAGCACTTTTTGCCCCAGGAATCACACTGCTCCTAAAAAATAAAATCAATCTACATTAAAATCATTTTATCCAGGTAAATTATTTAAAGCTCTTGCTGTGTGACAAGACCAAGAAACGGTTTTGAAAGAGACTAGGGTGCGACTGGATGCTGCAAAACATCATACTTACTCTAAAAGACCCTGGCTTGAGGAAAAAACATTTACGCACCATTAAGAAAGAATATTTATGCCAGATTTTTTAGACATCATATACTCAAAGACCCTGGCTAGAAGAAAAAACTTTTACACACCATTAAGACAGAATATTTATGCCAGATCGTTTAGACATCATACAGACTCCTCACTCTTCAATTGCTTTCTATATTCTGTCTTTATTCATCGATCAATTATCTAATGAGCTGGTACCGTCATGTTACTTGATTACAGTACTTTCACATCATTCAGTAGTCCTACAGTAAGATTACTATCATTGATACAAGTACTTATATAATGTTCTCAATACACTACAGACATTATTACTTCTTTAACCACACCCAAAAAGATCAATGGTAAAGCACTCATTTACTTACAGCCTAAAAATTATAGCATTTAAACTCTAGGGTAATCAATGTAGTACACACCTGTTACTAAGAGTTAGTTTAATATCAGCCAATCGGGTGAACAATTTTGTTGTAAGAGTTGTCCACTTGGCCCTGATACGCAGTGACGTCAAATGACTTAATACAACAATAATTTCGTAACTTGAAGGTTGCCGCCCAGAGGTGTTTCCTACTCTCCAATTGTTTTCAACAAGCTTTACCTGATAAAAATAACAGACATTAAGTTAATCCACATTCTCACATCCAGGACCCAAACCTAACTTGACTTGTTACTCGTTTTTTATTAGTGTCACCAAAGTTCGACATTAACTTAAATGTTGGAAAGTGAGAATAGCCAATTATCTTTTTTGAGTTGATCCAGTGATAACAACTTCCATTTCAATAACCAAAGAAATGACCCCACCACACATAAGTACAATGAAAAGTAGCAAACAGGGGCGGGAATATGTCCGATTTTTTTCAGGTGGCAAGGGGTCAGGAGCAGGAAGAGAGTAAAACAGAACAAGTACGAATTTACCCCAAAAGTTGTGCTAAGGCTATGTTTTAAACAGCCTTTCTCCAGACGTTTTCCCTGAAAGTTACTCTCCCTCACTGCTATTTTTCTCAAATGCAACAGTGGAGTATTATAAAACATCTCAAAGAAAAACTGCTAAAATAGACAAACTAAAAGTTTGATGGTTGTCATTAACCCCTGAACAAGAGAACCTCAGATCTCTTGGTCCAAATTCTCCTTGGTCACAAATAATCTTCCCCCTTGCAAAACAATCCTATTTTGTTTATATTTTATGTCTATTTTAATGCTATCACATCTATTTTTATAATATTTTATTCTCTGAGACTTATATTTTATTCCTATTTTACCTGATGAGGAAAATAGAGCCTCTATCTTAATTGTGTTTTACTTTTAATTTAAACCTATTTTAAAGCAAGATTGAACAAGGTGGTGTATTTTATTTATATTTTCTCTAAACAAGTGGAAATATAACCAGCAAAACAGACTATTTTAATCCTATTTGTAGTATCCATTCCTCCGCACGCAGTGCGAACCTACGTTTTGTAATAAACATGTTCTATCCAACATGGAGTGTGTTAACTGACGATCATACACTATTTTATTTCCTACATCAGTAAAATAGTGATAAAATAGGCCGTTTTATTTACATTTTCTGCTGATAGGACATACTATGGCCATTTCCTTTGGAAAATATGAAAATGATTCCTTTAAAGACTATTTTTTGACTGATAGTACTGTATTTATTGCAGTAAATATAATTCAAGTTATTGTATTTTATGGGAAAGAATCAACAGATTTTATTGACAATTTGTGTCAAACCAAATTTAATGATTGATTAGGAATATTTTTTATGAATAGCTGTAATTGAAGATAATTCTTATGAATTTTTCAAGAAAAGAATAAGAAATCAAATTCCATCCCAATATTACTACTTGTTGATGTTAATATAAAATCAAAAATATTTTACACTTAAACCTGAGGTAAGTATGTAAATAAATTTCATTGAATACTTGAATTTTTAGGTGGGATTTTAAATTTTTAGTATTTATTTAATGTTAGTTACCTCAATTTTTTTCTTAAAATTCCCAGTAATTCTTAAACATTCCTAGAAATTAATGAAAATTCTTAGGAATTTCTAGCAAGTTTTTAGATTTACAGTCTTTTAGGGAAAGTCGTTGGTGCTCTGAGTTGGAATTCCTTGTAATTCAAAGTCCTGTTGACAATTAACTTGGAATTTCTGGGAATTTCTAGGTTTTTGAACCTGTGAGTGTTGTTACAGTTGGGAATTCCTAGGAATTCCCATTTCAAATTTACCATGACAATTCACACCTCTTATTCCTAGGAATTACGTTTTTTCCTAGGAATGTTTATACATGAGGCTCTATTTTAAACCTATTTTAAGTGTATTTATAATCTATTTTTTAAAATTTTTTTCCTATTTTATCCCTGTTTTATGTCTATTTTATGTCTCTTAGACCTATTTTATAGGTATTTGATTCCTATTTTTTCAACTTTTATTCCTCCTTTATTCCTATCTTTTGTATATTTCAAACCTATTTTAAATGTATTTATATTCTATTTTTCCCTATTTTTGGTATTTTTTCTCTATTTTATCCCTGTTTTATGTCTATTTTCTTTTATAACTAATATTTCATTAATGCTATTTTAATCCTATTTTATCATCAAATTGCATACACATTTTCTCTATTTTAAAGCTATTTTAAAGCTATCTATACAGTAGTTATGACTTGCCAACCAGACTATTTTTTGTTTCAAAATAATAGGTGTAAAATAGTTTAAAAGTAACTTTAAAATAGTCTGAAAAAATAGAGAAAAAATACACAAAAAGTAGGGAGAAAAAATAGTTTAAAAATAGATATAAAATAAGCACTATTTTTGTAGGGGCCCCTTGTTAAACTCTGATCCAAAAACAATGATTCCATAATAATGATAATTGCATTGACAATTATAATGGTGATGATAATGATGACAATGTTTGTATCATCATCATCATCCTTTTCATTATTATTGTTATTGTGAGTTATTACAAAGCTGTAGTTAAACATAATTGTCGAAACTAACCTCATATTTCCTAAAATTGTCTCCACCTGGTGGAGCAGCATCAAGACTTGAGACAAGAGGTTCATCAAACCACTTGCCTTCAAGGATAACATCTCCGTTAGAGGATGTTGCAGGGCTGGATGCATTGTCCTGTTGTAAATGGAATGACAATGCATTTGTATAAGCAGATCTTTTGTCCCCAAGGTACTTGTCAGGAGCAACAAAATAGATATCATCTGAGCCTTGAGTGTCAACCCTTATAGATCCCCTGATGAAAATAAAGCAGACAATTGTAAGGCTCAGTATAAACCAGTTTGTCAAGGTCTTTTCATCTAGTTGGTGTAAAGGTCTACAAACAGTGAGACAAAAAGTGCTACACCAACATGGTATAAATTGAGCATGCCTTTAACATTCATTTAGAAGTGCAAACTTTCCTGGTATTCCAGATATGAACATGTTATACTAAAGTGATATTACCTCTTAGCTGTTATCAGCCAAACATTCTAAGAGGGGTTTTCAATTTGCCTAGTTTCTTGATGAATCGGATTTTGCTGTATTAAGTGACATAGGCTAGGTGAATGGCATGCAAAGGGAAGGAGAAGAGAAAATTTACTTTAATTTAAGCCCAAAAGGTGAAATGAGAATGATCACACCTTTATTCAATTTCCCTTCAGAGGACAACCAGTACACCATAATTTCAAATTACAATTTACTGGTGCACACACTACCAAAGTTAATAGCAGAGGGTCACATGACTTGTATACTACACTACATATATATAAATACAACAACCTAATGTAAACACTCACTTCTCAATGTTTATAGTAATATCCCAGTCCAGGACTGGGTTGACTTGTTTTCCTGCACTTTCTATAGTACTCCAACCATCCAAATCAACATTGTCATTAAACACTGACAGAGGGGTGTCAAGAGTTGAGAAAAACCATCCTGGGTCAGTAACACAGTCAGATGATTTATTTGAACACTGACACTTCAAACAACCTTGAGGATTCTGGACACTTAAGCCATAATAACCAGCTGGGCACATGTCACACTGACGGCCTTAAGTGACTGAAGCTTACAAGGACACTGGCCTGTAGTCTTGTCACAGACAGGGCTGGCACTTCCCCCAAGGTTACAGTCACAGGATATACAACCTAAAAGAAACAAATACATTTGCACCAGTCATGTTACAGTTGCAATCTGTGAAATAAACAAAAGAAGAAAATATGATGAGCAAAAACTCTGATTGCACTTCCACAGTGCTACAGTGTACAGATATTGTACAAATAACAATAAAATTGTAAAATATCTGGTTTGACACTAATATTCATGTACATAAAAATTCATGCTCATGTAAGTTGTTATTTTCAAAAAAGGAAAAGCAGAGAAATCATCATTCATTCAAAATTGACATAGAGGTGGGAATAAAGTATGCCGTTTCTGAACTTCTCGCCCTCATAGTCTGTTTCAATCAGGCATTTCTATCCAAGAAAACTCTGAATTTGCAGCAAGTTGCTAATATTTGGGGGCTAAATATCAAACTTTCAAACTCCATACTCAATAATTGACAGAGGTAAAGATTGAGTGTTAGTGAATATCATAATGAAGGTGTTTAAAATATTCTTATTTTGAGAAATGTTTTGCTTGAAAGTGACATTACAACAGCTCAATGTTTTCCTAAGGAACACATATGTATTAATCTAGGGTTTATTCTAAACACATGCACATTATTTAACTTCTTTACCTTTATAATCTTGACCTGAGGTGAAGTTAAAATAGTCTGGTCTACACTGATTGCAAGTGTGACCAATCACATTAGGCTTGCAAGAACATAGGCCACCATATCTGTCACATTCATCAGGGTTGTTTGACCCCACTGAGCTACAGTTACATGCTGAAAAAACATACAAGTTTAAGTACAAATATCAATTGCACATAAATGGTCTAAAGTTTTTTTTTTACCGTAAATTTTGCATTAAGGTGACTAAAGCCTACTTAAAGAGAGATTTCTGGGTTAAAACCATAAACATCGATAGGTGATATGCTGAATAAGTGTATAGCTGGAGTAGTATGAGCCAAAATTTCCTTGATATGCAATCTATCCCTTTGTCTATTGGTATTACATGTAAATTATTCTCTATAGTTTACTGAAGTCAATGTTCACTTTATTTTGATAGCTGCCTTGTCTCTTGCAGCAGTTCTAGATGATATTTTGTTACAGCTTTTCTTATCTTTTTTAGTATCAATGCTACCTTGTCCCTCTCCAAAAATGCTTCCAAACACTGGTGCAAGTGCACGACTTCCTGCCTCAGAGTTTGCTGACCAGGTTTTCAGGGATGATGATGCATTGTAGTAAAACGTCATGTTTTCTTGAACTTCAGCAGACGCTTCCTTGAATACATTATACTCAGACACAGTCGGCATGACTAAAACCTGTGTTACAAATAAGTATTACTGACATCAATTTTATGTTTCAACAATTATCTACTTGAGAAAGATGCTTTTCGTCTTGTCACGAGCATGGGACAAAGAAAAAATTCTGAGTCCCCATGAGGAATCAAACCTCAGACCTTTAGATTCCCTGCTCCAATGCTCTATCATTGAGCCACAGAAACTACAGTGAAGGAGGTCTATTATGAAGTTCAGTAAGACACACGTCCTGCACACTGCTAGGATCAGCAATGTCGATAATATCATTTCTGTACATAGAATACTAGAAATGGTAAGTTTTGAGCTCATTTAAGAGATAGAGATGTTTTTGTCTTGTCTCGAGCTTGGGACAAACATAAAAAATCCTGAGTCCCCATGAGAAATTCAGATTTTGTGCTCTGATGCTCTACCACTGAGCCACAGAGACTACAGTGAGGGAGGTCTATTACAAAGTTCATTTGACACCTGTTCTAAACACTACTAGGATCAGCAATGTTGATAGCATCATGTTTGTGAATAGAATAAGAGAGATAGTAAGTTTTGAGCTCGATCAGTAAAGAGACAGAGAAAGATGTTTTTTGTCTTGTCACGAGTCACAGGACAAGGAAGAAATTCTGAGTCCCCATGAGGAATTCAGATTCTGTGCTCCAATGCTCTACTACTGAGCCACAGAGACTCTATGGTGAGTGAGGTCTATTACGAAGTTCATATGACATGTGTCCTGCATACTGCTAGGATCAGTAATGTCGACAGCTTGTCATGCTTGAAAATTGAATAAGAGATATGGTAAGGTTTGAGCTTGGTAAAGAGATCGAGAAAGATGTTTTTAGTCTTTTCACGAGTGTGGAACAAAGAAAAAATAAAAAAAAAACATCTTTCCCTGTCTCTTTACCAAGCTCGAAACTTACCATCTCTCTTATTTTATTTACAAACATGACGCTACCAACATTGCTGATCCTAGCAGTATGCAGCACATGTATCATAAGAACTTTGTAATAGACCTTGCTCACTGTAAAGTCTCTGTAGCTCAGTGGTAGAACATTGAAGTGTGGTATCCAAACATCTGAGGTTTGATTCCTCATGGGGACTCAGAATTTTTTCTTTGTCCCACATTTGTGACAGAACAAAAAACATATTTCTCTATCTCTTTAATGAGCTCAAAAATTACCATCTCTCTTATTCTATTTACAATGATCTACTAGTTTTTGTGGTTGCCTTATAATGGAGATGGTTTTCACATAACATCTTGTAGGCCATGTTGTTGTCTAAGTCAATTCCTTAGGACTTGAACTCTTTGCAAATGTGAACTGTTTTATTTGTTTTGCAGCTTCTCTGCACTGTCCTATTATCAAACTTCCTTGATGGGATAGTAAGTAAATATACTTCATTCTAGCTATTTATCTTCATTAAGTATATGTACCCCAGCTAAGAAAATCGCACAGTTACCCTCACCAAGGTTCCAACCTGAATCTGCAGTGTCAATCAAGATTCCAGAGCACCAATAACTAGGTCATGATGTCTCTCCTAAGAAAAAAACTCTGGGT